AGAAGCTCAGGGCAGTTGATTCTCGGCCAGTGTTTTTTCCCCTGCCTGCCTCACAGTGCCCAGGAAAATAACACAAATGCAGGGCCTCCTCTGCAGGTCATCCTTATGGGAGCCAAATGCAGAAGAGAGGAGGCTGACCCGCGCGTGTCCAGCCTCTCGGGCTCCTCTACTCTTGAAATAAGAGGCCTGCCTAACCGTCAGGTACAGCCCATCGAGACAGAAACTCGCAGCCTTGTTCACCTGCCCCCGAACAGTGGAGAAAAGCAGGTGCATGAGGAATATTTTTAAACTGTTTCGTGTTTATGGAAAGGGTAATCCATGAACAGTTACCATCTTCAGACTTTCTCTAAGTTCCCTTTTCTCTGTTTTTGCCATGCTTTGCATAAAGAGGTCAGGCAGGTGGCCTTTTCTGATGGCCTGCGGGGAGCTTCCCCTTGCCAGTTCCGTTAGACTGATGAGCTGGTCCTCAGAGGAGACTGTGAAATTCTGAGCATGGCGGGCGGGAGAATAAGGCCATTTTTATGAAAGGACGTTTTGGTGGGGGGTTCTGATGAGCCAAGCTCAAGGATGGGAGGGGTTCTGTGCCTCAAGGTGCTTCCACCACAAAGGCAACCGACTGCCTTCCCACTGTCCCATTGTGCTCAGCTGGCTCAAATGAGGTCCCCCGCGCCTGCTTTGTGCCCCAAGCCAAGGGAGAGGTAGAACCTGATGCGTAGGACTGGTCAGGGGCAGCAAGCAAGTCTAGAGGGTAGCACTAGGATCTCCTATGCTTATAGGCTGGTGCGTGAACTGCTATCCCTTCGTTCCTACCCCACTGAAAATACCGACAGGGCGTATTTCAAGTCAAGTTTCCACAGTGACGTGGGGCTATCCCAAACACGACAACTCATAGACTGTGGCTAGTTAGTTGTGTTACTGACAAGAACACAGTACTGAGAAACACGACGCTGAGACTTGATCCCAGCCACATCAATGAATTGCACTGTTTTACTCATTTGCATCCTGAATGCCTACCACACACCAGTCACTATAAAAGGCACCTGGGAATACAAAGAGCAATAACACTATCAAAGCTATAGTTTGATGGAAGGATACAGTGGGCCCCCTCTAACCCTGAATCCCCTTCAAATGGCTGCTGTTGGCCATAGCAAAGCTGAGTAAGGATCACTGAAAACCTACCCTCAGTTCTGCAAAAACAAGTGAAGCTCATTTCCTAATGACAATGTTTATACACCATGAATTTTCCGATTCTGCCATGTGAGCCCACCTGACCCACCGTATTTAGTACAAACTTTGTCGTATCTCAGAATCACCTGGGGAGCTGATAAGGCTCGTAGAAGCCCATAACTTGAAGCCAGTCTTCTGCGCTGTCACCAAGTTCACCAGATGATTCTGATGCCACCAAAGTTGGAGAGCCACCACCATGGCTATGAGCCACTTCTGTGAAGTGGCAGAAATCTCACACAGCATCGGGGTGGGTCCTCCATTAAGGACAAAAGTAGACAGAGCCCTCATGCCTCTCCAAAATATATGTAAGGACACAGTGTGCAGGGCTTCCTACACAGGGCAGTACCCTTGTTATTCAGGGTATAGAGCACGTTCCTGCATCAGAAAACTGAGCCTGACAGTGAGTTAATTATCCACACCCTTTGGAACTCGTGGTGTGCTCAGAACTTCCCGCAGATGGAATTAATTCTTCCTTGACCTAGCAGAGCAGGTATTTTCCTTAGACCATACAGAGCGCCCTTTTGATGTCAAAACCGGTAATGAGTAGACAATGTTAAAACCTCTTGTGTTTTTGCATCTATATACGCAAGCAGCTAAAACTTACCCTATCACTCTCTTAAACACAATAGTGTTTAAGAACCACTATTCTCTTTGAAAGAAAACATCCAGGGTATTAAAGAGGGCACGTTCTGCGTGGAGCACTGGGTGTTATGCACAAACAATGAATCGTGGAACACTACATCAGAAACTAATGATGTAATGTATGGTGATTAACATAACAATAAAAATATGATATTGAAAAAAAAGAATAATTTGACTTAAAAAGAAAGAAAGAAAATATCCAAAACCTCCTTAATTCCAGGAAAACAAATATTCCCTCAATAAAATCTCTTCTCATGCCACCTCCTTTCTCTTTAACCACAAGGGGTGCTCATAAATGACTTCATTCTGACATCCATCCACTCTCCTTTTATGAAAAAGTGCTCGTTTTTTTTCATTGTTAATAGAGGTTTTGCCAAGGAACTCGAGCATATCCCACCTGATGTAGGTCCTGGTAATAACAATCACCTCCTGGAAGGAGTCTTCATTTAGTGAGTGGGAAGAAGTAAACGATCAGCAGGAGAGTGGTAACAAGCCTGGGTCAGAGGCAGAGCAGAGCTGGGAGGGGGCCCAGGGAAGGCTTGGGGAACCGAGTTGCTAGCGGCTAGGACTCAGAGCATTTGCCATGTCAAGCCTTGTGTTTTTTCTGCTACACTGGTGTTTTTTTCTCCCCAGCTGAAGACTTGAATAAATATTTTGATTTTCTGTTATTGCCGACGATTACTGCATCTTCTTATTTAACTTATGTCTTCTTTCCAAGCGAGAATATCCAGGTTTCGGTTGGATCTATTTTAAGGTGAATTAATTAACCAGCATAATACTACATTCATATGTTTCTTAATTCATTTTTTTTTACTCTAAAATAGTTACAGAACACATGGCATCGAATCCCTAGTAAACCACGCTGTCTTTTGGATTTGTTTGTGTGTGTGTTTCGTTCTTCCCTCATAGGGGAACCTGCCCCCAGACTATAGAATCAGCCTGATTGACATCGGCCTGGTGATCGAGTACCTGATGGGCGGGGCTTATCGCTGCAACTACACGCGCAAGCGCTTCCGGACGCTCTATCACAATCTCTTTGGCCCCAAGAGGGTGAGTTTTGCAGCAAGTTCCCTTTTCTGGACTCCTGGGAGGACTAGGGCGGGACACATTGGGGAGGTGGCCCCCTTATCTCCAAGGGAGAGATCAGATAAGAAGGCAACTGGCCCACCCACCTCTTCCTTCCACCATCAAATCCATAAAAAAAAAAAAAGGCAATGTATTGGGTGATACATCCTTTCTTTTCCTCACTAGGTCCACTTCAAATCAGAAACTGGCACTGGGAGTGAGCCTTAATGATCAGGGAATAATAATTAAATTCAAATTCATCTTATCTACCTCAGTCGTTTTCAAGATTTTTGGTATTGGGCTCTCTTTATACCTTTAAAAAATTATTGAGGACCCCAAAAAGCTCTTATTTATGGGCGTTCTATCGATCACTATTATCGTGTTAGAAATTAAAGACTTAACAATGTTTATTAATGAATATTAATTCATTTTAAATTAACTGTAAGAAGCCCATTACATGTTAACATAAATGACATGTTTCTGAAAAATAACTATATTTTCAAAAACAAAAATTGGTAAAAGTATCATTGTTCTATATTTTTTTGCATATTTCTGTAATATCTGGCTTAATGGAAGAAAGCTAGATTCTCATATCTACTTCTGCACTCAGTCTGCCAGATGTTTTGGTTGAAATATACAAAGAAAATCTGACTTCACACAAATATGTGACAAATATGACATATATGTGTCATATATATATAAAGGAAGGAGTATTTTAATAATCTTTACAGATAATTATAGATATTCTTTTTTGATGCTACATACATCAAAACTCAGTTTGGCAATTTCTTAAAAGATTAGTTGCAACACAAAATCTGAAATGACGTCAATGAACTTTTCATACTCTGCTACTTTAAAATGCATTGATTGAGCTTACACTTTGTATGGATCTTGGAACATGGTAGACTGGTCATTGTAGAATACTGGTTTGTTGAGTTATGTAGATCTGATGGTTGACACATTTCATTAAACAATTTCAAAAACTCACCTTCATTAATATCACCTCCAGTTTCATCAGAAAAGTCTTTAACTTCTGAAAAACTGTCCAGGTCATGGGGGAAAGGATATGCAAGTTTTCAAAAATTCTAATTTTTTCTAATTTCTCCTTGGAAAATTTTGTCATTGGCAACAGATACCATCAGTTATTTTCCTTGAAATGACAGCCCCACTTCGGCCATTTCCAAAAATGTCTGCCAAATGTCCAAGTCTAAGTAAACCATGGTTTGTCTGCCAGTCGTTCCTTCAGGTTGATTGCCCATGAAACAGTGTGGCCATAATCCAAATAACTGCATGTTTGTCGTCAGGACAACCCGTCCTGGTTCAGTATGTAGCAGAAGTGCTTTATGCACATTTCCCATTTCATCCCTCAAAATAGTCAAAAGACTTTTTTTAGTATCGAGGGTAGAGATTTAATAAAGTTAATATTTTTTCTTAGGCCTCATCAAAGACTTCTTAAGTACAACTGGTTTTTTGTTTGTCTTTAAACTTCCAATGCATAACAGTGGAATCTAATGACAACTAGTAAAGTTTGGTGTCACTGCCTTCTTCATTCCTGCTAAGGCCCCCAGCAGTTTGCTCACCACTGCCTTTGCACCATCACTGCAAAATGTTAACATGGTGTTAAAACCAAATAGCATCTTAGTATTCTTAGGAAAACACCCTTGACTTCACAGAGCCCCAGAAAGGATCACACGGTTCCTGGACCACATTTTGAGAACTGTTACTCTAGCTGGTGGGGGGCATGATTTCTACTTTTAACACAGCTGATCTTCTGATGAGGAAAGTATTTGACGGGGCTCGAAGACCACTTTGAAAACACCCAAAAGTATAAATAAGGAGAAAAAAAACACACAAATTTCAAACTGGTGGTCACTTTAGAAGCTAAAAGGGAAAGAAAGGGAGAGAGAGAAGTTTCAGGTTATTCCTACTTTTATTTTATTCCAAAATAAAATTTGGAGGAATGGTGAGTGCTGTAACCTTATTAGTTACCTGAACAACTTCCAAGATAGCGCTCAACCATTCTGTAACACTTAGAACACAGCACTGGAATTCCTGACCCCTGAGATATAATTTCGTATCTCCACTTCTTAGATATAAATCAAGTTCTGTAATTCGCTGAGATGCCTTCTCTCTCCGTCTTGGCCTGCGGCTGTTTTGCACATTCCCAGCATGACCAATGATGCCACTGTATGTGCTGACACTTTCCGTGTCATTGAGCACCTTCTGCCACAGTCAGCACATGCCCCTGTAGCCCCACTCACCCTTGCTTTACTGGACAGCTACATAGGGAGATGGCCGGCATGAAGCCTCTAAACACATACTCCGAATAGTATTCCAAGTCTCCAGGTAATAGAGGCCTTTCAGAGGTTTGAGAAACATCTTATGGTTTGACTGAACATTTTATGGCTCATCCAAGTGCTGGAGGTCATGGAGATGTCAGCCAACCAGGACGTTTCTGGAAAGATGGAAGAAATTTTGGTCCATAAAAGAGATTACCAACCTGCAGGCTCTACCCTTGGGCAATCTCATTATGCCTCTCTGGAGTTCTAATTCTCTGTGATTCACCAAAATCACCAAATCCCTGATTCCCTAGAATGTCTATAAATGGGTTCCTCTTGTGGTGTTTTATTTAGTGAAATGAATAAATGCTGTATGGTACAATAGAGTTCTTCTATTACCTGGTTAAGATATAATAGGATTCTTTTCTTACCTCTATAAAGAAAGATCTAACTTTATGTATAACATTTTTTTAAACAGCCCAAAGCCTTGAAACTACTGGGAATGGAGGTAAGTATATGCCCAAATTATTAATGTCAATTATTTGTTCTCTTTATTATACATTTTAAATATATATATATATATATAAACACACATATATATGTTCATTTAATTGGTAAGTTTTAGTACATGATTCTAAAATAAAGAAGGGAATTTTTTTCCAGTATTGAAGGGGGGGACAAGTTACAGTAGCTTTGAAAATTCCACCACAAGGTTGCATTAGCATTACAAGTAAGAAAATAAATCTTATTTGAAATGCTAACTTGAAAAGCAAGGAAGCATATAAATTCCAGTGAGTGAAATCTATTCATGGGTGTTTACAACTGGCAACAGATCCAAAGGCCAGAAATACTTCACAAATGCACCTAAGAGGTATGTAGAAACTGGAGCTAGATCATCTGTTTCCCATTTTCCATCTTTTGTTTGTGTGGGTATTGTCGTTTATGCACCTGCAAGAATAGGATGTCCTTGTCCTTTCAGAGAAAAGGGCAGCGCTAGCCATCATGAGGCACAAATAACCTTACCTGTAGGAAAAAGATGGACAAAAGTGAAAGAAGGGAGGGAGGGAAAGGGAGGGAGGGGGGAGGAAGGAAAGAAGGAAGGAAAGAAAGAAGGAAGGAAGGAAAGAA